GGACTGTAAGTTTTTTATTTAAAATACAATCAGTCTAGGTTCGCTGGTAGAGGGAATTGATCTGAAATACTTGGATCCCCACTTATATCATTGTTTCTCTGATTTTCCCAACCTTCAAACATTGAAATTTGAATTCTGTTTGCTCTAAATACTTGGAGGACGGCGGCATGGGACGGCACTGTGAACAGGCGGAATGCAGTACAGTCGTGTCTGGGCACTAACTCCACCTCCTGTGTGCCTCCTGCTTGTTTCCTTCCTTCCCTTACTTCCTCCTTTGCTTTCCCCCTTCTCTTTAATTTCCTGGTCTCTGTGCTTGGGTGTTGGAGTGGCCTCCTTGGCTCCTGGAGTCCCTCACTGTGTCAACATGTCCTTGCAACACTGTTTCTGGGTGGGGCAATCCAGTAAGACCCGTCCGCAGTCCCCTCACTCTGATCTTAACACTTGTGCCTGGTGAAATGTCTCTCCTCTGCCATCTTGGGCTCAGTTATCCTGAAGAGTCCTCTGTGTACTAATTCCAGAATAGTTTCTCTTTGATAGGAACACAGTTATCGTTCTAGGATCCCCAGCCTGGCCACTTCTCCTTGTTTTTATTGTATTCAGTAAAATACTGTATTCAATAGCTTACCTTAGAAGACAAGCTTGATGAGGTTTGACTGTCCTTTAGTCTTACCTTTTTCACCAAAGTGACAGAACCCCAAACTGCCTTCCTCCCTGTGTGGCAGGGAGGCAACGTAGCACAAAGGCAACAAGCTCATCTTTCTGAAGCTCTTCACCTGAAAATAAAATAAACAATTTGATATGAGTAAGATCCAAAGAATTTGGGGAAAATTTTGATGTTTCTTGATCTGTACCCTGTAGTTGGGATTTATGTAGCTAAAAGTAACATAAACTTTGACACTGCTTCAACAAATTAGAGAGGGTTTACTGCCATAGTAGGAAAAGCATGGAGGAGGTTGGTTTAGGGTCCATTGCTACTGCTTCCTGGTCAGGCTCATTTTGCTTCTCAGCTGTACTCACCTTCCTGGGTAACTGCAGGACATCAGAGAATTTTGTTAGCAATCTAGGAGCAAAGAAGAAAAAACACAAAGGAAGAAAGATAAGTAGTTATATCAGGACTTAGAATATTTCCAAAAACCCCAATAAATGTATACACGTATCTTGCCAGGACCATGTCTCACAGCCACCAAGAGTCTAGTGATTACTTTTTTAGCTGGGTACACTGCCATTCCTGTAAAAGCTTAAATTTCCTTAATGAAGAAGAAATAGAGAAGTGATGTCACCTAAATAAACAAGTAGCAGTGTATACCACACCCACCATAGTCAGACAAATCCTAGTATCTGTGATTTCATTTGTCAGTCAGTACTATCAATATTTATTGCCACAGTAAAGGTAAGTAAAAATGATTAGCTATTAAAAACTAATCTACCATTTTATTTTCTTTTTCCAGTAAGCAATAGTGTGACCTTCTTATTCATGTTTACCTTTGAACAGAATTGAAGTAATTGTTTTATAGCTTTATTGTTTTGTGTGCACAAGTTTATATATATCTTCCAATCTTAATGAAGATTTGTGTCTTAGTCCATTTGGGCTCATGTTATAAAGTGGATGGTTTATAAACAGAAATTTCTCATGGTTCTAGAGGCTGGGAAGTCCAAGATCAAGGCACCAGCAAATTTGGTATGCAGTGAAGGTCCACTTCTCGTTTCATAGATGATACCTTTTCCAGGGGCTGATGAGTTCTCTGAGGCCTCTTGTATAAGGACAATAATCTCATGACCTCATGACCTAATCACCTTCTAAAGGCCCCACTGAGGGCTAGGATTTCAACTTTCGGATGTTGGAGGTTTATATAAAGTCCATTGCAGTTCATTTGGATGATAAATAAACTTGAGAGGAAGAACAGAATTCATTTGATTGTCACAGGGATCTGGAATTCATCTTGAGGCTGCTGTGTTTGAGCATCTTTCCTTTTCAGAATCAGGGACCTTGAGCCCTGACTAAACATGGAGACCATTTGAGCTTAAGACTGAGGAGCCAAGGCTTCTGAGTCATTGGGTAGTCCATTTGGGGCTGTGCCCTATCCAGCTATCTAGCTCGATCTGTAGGAACACTCTTGATTGTCCCATAGGCATCAACTCAATGGTGTGTTTAAACAAAGCTGGAGAAATTCTGCATGTACTGTTGGTTGCATCATGCCTCTAAGTTTTCTATCCCAGGAACTTGAATGAAACAGGCATACCAAACTGACGGACTCACAGGCAGGCAGGCAGGCAGGCTATTGCAACCATGTTGCTAGTTTGAACATGTTTTTCTCCCAATTTTTTATTCTTTTTCCCTTATTAAAAATTGTAAATTGAGGCATGGACCCAGTGACTCATGCCAATAATCCTAGCGTTCTAGGAGGCAGAGATGGGTGTATTGTTTGAAGTCAGGAGTTTGAGACCAGCCTGCGCAAGAGCAAGACCTCATCTCTACTAAAAATTAAAAAATTAACCAGGTGTGATGGCAGGCACCTGCAGTCCCAGCTACTCGGGAGGCTGAGGCAGGGAGATCACTTGAACCCAAGAATTTGAGGTTGCTGTGATCTATGACACCACAGCACTCTAGCCTGGGGCAACAGAATGAGACTCTGTTTCAAAAAAAAAAAAAAAAAAAAAAATATATATATATATATATATATATCCTTTTTCAAGTTGGAAATATTTTTACAAGTCTTCTTTAACAATTCATGAAGTCACATCCAGGTCCTTGATACAGACTCCTAAAGGTGAGACCAGATACTCGTTATCTCACAAACCAGCCAGGTTTAAGTGATATGTAAAAAAGGTGTTTCTTATATTAAGTTAGTATCTTCCATTTCACCTCATAATGTCAGATGCACAACCAAACTCTAAAGTCCTATTTAACAAAGTGATCAAAACACTACTGCACTGACCGGGTTTTACAGTGCTAGGTCTTTCCTTATATATAAGCTTTGTTGACTTAGAATTAAGTGACAGTTTAAGAGTCTGTGTTGAGAAACACGAAGGGGAAGTATACATGAAACATAAACAGTTCTTCTGCGTAAAAGCTGAAAAAATGATGTGGTGTCAAAGATTCAGAAACTAAACCTTCTTGTGCCATTTTGTCATCTTTAAAACTAAAATGTCCTTGTAAGGGTCCTTGGACACATTCTTCTCCATTTCCAGCAAAAACCGTAAAACAGGTTTCTGTTTTCTCTATTTCTTTCTCAGGCTTATAACAATGAGAGTTTCAAAGAGAGGTCATAACTTGATTCAGAATAATGAGAGAAAGACAGCATCATGAGACAAGGCTTGAATGAACCCTGAAGGGTATTTGAGTGTTTGGTTGAGTGGGATGGGAGAGATTGAATAAAGACCCATGCAAGCAATAATCTTTATTGAATCTATGTGAAAGGCTCAGTCATGATTACTCAAGTCACTATTACATGGAGTTAATATGCAGGCTACTATAATAATTAAGTCCTAATGTCCCTGAATGCCACTCTGTTAAACCCGTAGGAGGAAGAGATGAAGAAAACCACCTCATATATAGATCTGTGTTTTCTAGGGCTTTTGTGGTGTGAAGAAATCCATAGCTCATGATCAAAAAGGGAGTCTTCCTTTTCTATTTTAAACTTATCTTATTTGCAAGCCAAAGTTACCAAGGACAGGATTTGACAGCCCCAAATTATCTCTAGGCAAGGCTATTGGCCCTGTTGATAAACCTATTAAAATCATCCCTGCACTAGCCAGCCAGCCTTTCCTTGGCTTTTACAGTCTGAGGGAGCCTTTCCCAGAACTCTCCTATGACGCTTGCATTAGTGATGGTGAGACTGCCCGGTATTAAGGAAGTAAAAAAGCAGCCTGGTACAAGTAGTTCTAAAAATCTGGGCTACAAATACAGCTGTGCCCCAAGAGGGCTGCTCTCTCAGATGCTCACTGTATTGGTTCTCTGCCAATGTCAGGCCGGGGGCATTCACAGAGATCTATGGATGCAACAACTCCTGTAGTCAAATCTTAACATGGAAGTGTTGTAAGTCCTGAAACCCAATGGCTGTATCTTGGAGTTCATGAGGGATCTTCTACTAGGACTGAATTATGTAGCATGATAAACCAATACTTCCACTCCGTCAAGTCTGCCTCCTGTGTAAAAAGAATGCATGACCTGGAAGGCACAGACCCTATGAAGTGTGAGTCACCCCAGGTCAAAGTCTCAGGAAAATTCTAGGGTTGGGGGGAGGGGCCCCCATTTGGTCCAAGCACCCAATGGTTTTAAATCCATTAGCCAGACAATTCATGAAAAAAAAGAGAAGGAAAAATCAAATTTTGTTTAAAAGACAGTTCAGAAATTAGCCTTAACACTGGAACTTGAAAGACAAAAAAGGGAACAGAATTAAACGAACATTTAAAAGAATAATGAATTTCAAATTTAGTTAAATATTTGAAAGAAAAAAAATTCACCAAATTATACACTGAAGGCCAAAACAGAAGACAAGAAAAAGTTGAATCCAACTGAAATAGTTTGATATATCTGATCCAGAAAGTTGAAAGCCTAGGAAGAGAAGTAAAACCTTCTCTTTTTTTATGAAAAAAAGAAAGAAAAGGATAGAAAAAAAGTTAGGAATTTAAAGGTGGGGTAAAAAGGTAGGGAGTAAAAGCAAGTGGGTGTGGTAAGCTCGGTGGCAACTCCTGGAAGTCCTCAGTTTGGGTCTCAGCCAATTACCTGCCACCCCGGCAGCTTTTCACTCCTCTTAGACAGGTGTCTGTCTGCTCTCACACTCTTGCTCACCCACGCCCTTTAGTATATTGGCACCACTGGCTGACTCCTTATTTGTTTGACCAATTTTCCATTAGTGACATGATTCTACTTTTCTCTTTCTACTAAAATTTACTGGCTCCTGCCCTCCAGTCTCTGCCCAGTTCATGGGATATCCAGAAATTTTCTAGGTAACCCCATACTAATTAAAATCAGTGTATTAAATAAACTACAAGGTAGATCTTGTGAACGAAATTTTTATTTACACACTGTATCTAGAAGCAGATACATAAATTCTTAAACAATTTCCAAAAATGTGCAAGAAATTACTATAATTTGTTTACAAACCAAAACACGTATTAAAATCAATGGACTTTGGATAATTCATTCTGTGGTATTCTCAGTACAAATGATACACACCTGATTTGAAACATACAGAAAAAGTGTAAACTACAGCAATCTGAATTGCAAGTATTAATTTCATGGCACTCCAACAACTATGAAATTTCTTTAAATCAACATGTATACTTACTACAAAATTCTATAAGAATTTTTCATTATTTCTGGATGTACAGTTTGGATCACTTTTCAGAAATAGCAACTACACATTTTGCCATGTATAATGATTAATAAAAAGGGTTTATAAAAAACATTCTTTAAAAAAGTATTACAACAAACCCAATTTGTGATTACTAGCGTACCAATACTTTTAGAATTTTAAAGTAATTTATGGAACTGGTTATTGTTCCTTATTAGAGTATTCAACGAAGCTGTCTATTGCTGGTAGTGTGATTTCATTTTCAAAATAAGACTTCACATTTGATGAAAAGCAATTAGATTTAAATGGAATATATTATTTTGAATTGTTCATAAAACAATAGCTCTCATATACGATGTGAAATGTAGAGAAATTAAAACAGGCATTTCTGAAAGCGTTGTTTATAAAGGTATTCACACTTTAGTACTGGCAGAGATGCTGCATAAACTTCTGTCAGATTTTAGTAACTTGTATCCTGTTTAAATAATACTGGCTCAGGAATCACAACATATACTTTAGGTTTATTTCATAGATGCCAACAATTTAGTCTTTTGGCACATGACTTTTCTCAACAGCAAGATGGTTGCCCTGTGTAGCCGGTTTCCTTAAAAACTATTTTTAGCTCTTTGATCATTTCCTGTGATATATTTTGACCTTCTGAGTTTTCAGATTATTGCACCAAGAAGAAAGAGAACAGTTTTCCTTAGACAGAAAGAGAGTGAGATATTTTTCAAGTACTTTCTATAGTTTCTCATTATTTATAAAAACCCATAATAGTGTCCTAGTAAGCCTAAAAATAGTCTCTGTCCTCAATCATGTTTTATGATGAAATATTTGATTTTAAAAAATTCTGATTCACTTATTACGGCAAATGGATGCAGCTTTCCTGTTTTCTTTTTCTTGCCTTCAGCAAATTTTTAGAAGCACATATTTAAAAATGATTCACAGGTTGTCTTTATCACTTGCTACCTGTCACTAGGATCCAAATATTTACCCAAATTGTATCTAGACCAAACTACAGGGTGAAGTTCTCTCTCTTTTTGCCCCCTCTCCCCTTCAAACCAGCCTGTTTCAGTGGCGTATAAGGCTAATCTTTCACATTATGCTGTGCTACTCTGCCAAATGGATTTCTTTCTACACAAAAGAAGAGAATTTTGCAATACGCCTTTCGGCTTATAAATTTACTAGCAATATGCTTTTCTGCTTGTAATTCAGATTTTTGGCAAATGTTTTGATTTTTATTGTTAACACTATCAAAATCTAACAATTTTAAGTTGGATAAGAATAGGGCATATTACTTAAAAGTATTATATATTATGAATAATATAAAAGCACATCAAAAATTGGCTTTCTGAATTAGAACAGTATCAAGACTTGCCCTCCTTAAACCATAAAATAGAACATTTTATGAACATTTTTAGGACATTTAGATGAAAATTAAAATAACCTTGACACCAAAAGGGTAGGTCTTAAACACATGGCATCAAGAGAAAATGCGGGGAACAGGTTGTGTCCACATAAGACAGGTTCAGGGCAGTCCAAAGACCTCTGTGCACTCTGATCTCAAAAAGAGGACGTGTAAGTGCTCCTGGAGACACGGAGAACCCATTTCAACATTTATCATTAATACACAGTGACTCTGTGACAATACCTGCCATCTAATATAGATGCACAGGGACTTTTAACTCACCCCAGATATATTTTAAGTTGTTTAAAAATAAATAGTTTTGCAAAAAAATAGTTTAAATGTCTTGCATTAATTTGATAACAAGCTTACAACTCTGTAATAGTTCTTAACCCAAATAGCTTATAGTGAATAATTATATTATTACAGTATATTCCCTATGCCATCTTAGTAGGTGAAAACAAATCAGAAAATCAAAGAGGAGTCTTTGTAACAAGGTACAATCAACATTTTATCAAAATTAAGTACCTTTTCCCCTTTAAGTCAAAATATCGTAACACCATGATATCATGGCACTGTGCCTTTTCTTGGTAATATCTCAGTTCTGACCCTATAAAACAAATAGAGAAAAAAGTGAGAGGCAGGTATGTGTGAATGACAAAGCCAGTAAATCTGACCAAAGACCTCTGCCCTAGTGTTTAAAGTAGAAGAGACAAGAAAACTTTAAATGACACAGGAAGAAACATCTCAAATTACATGGTCCACCTTGGAAACACTTTCCTTTAAAGCTGTATAGCTGGAAACATCTTCTGGACAAGGTAATCCCCAAATACTACAACACTACAGAACAGTAAAATGAATAAACACTACACATTTCAAAATAACTAAAAATTATTGGGCATAACATCCTCCCCCCCAAACTGACTCAAAGAGATAAAATAGTGATACCAAATTACTTAAAGACTAGTTAAATTTAAAAAAAAATTAAAAAATCTATTTGTAAGTGGCAGTATTTATGGGTAGGCAGTATCTGATATGGTTTTAATATTTTTTCTCACGTCATGAGAACTGCTCCACAATCTCCACAGTGTTTTAACTGAAAGTCAAGATTATTTTAAGTGGGGGGAAGGAGTGGTCAAATCCAGCACGTTGAATAGTACACTACATAAAAATATAAACCTAACTTTAAAACAATGTTTCCTTTCTAATCAAATCGATTTACAACTTGAGATAAGCTTCACTGTTGCATGAGAACCCAGTCCATTTATGAAATTTAGATGTATGATCAAGTTCACCTAAGGGAATGTTGGCTGAGCTAAAGAAATCACAGATAAAACTCTTTACCAAAGGAAAGTGTAAAGAAGCACAGACAACAAAAATGCTATCACAGGAAACTATGATCATCTGATATTTCTTTAATAATAGTTCTAGTTCCATAGGTTTTTAGGGATGTTATGCCAATTTGTACCCGAGTTTAATGACAGAAAAGGCAACAATTTCTAAACCGGTGGTATACATTTCTTTACAATTTTTTAAATGTAAGGCCATTTATTAAAACAGACAAACCACAAGATGAAAATGAAGGCAAAAGAAAACTTCGACTTTTCACAACCAAAATAATGAGCACAATCTTTGAGATAATTTAGGAAAGAGCACTGTCGAAGCTATGCAGCCGATCTGCACTCTATCACCCAAGATTACATCCATTCATAATTCTAAATAAACCTTTTTTAAAGTATGAAATAAAAAAATCACTTTCAACGTCTATGTAATTCCTGTCTTAGCACACAGGTATGTTTATTCGACACTATCTTTTGAAATGGGCCATTTAAAAAGACAGCAATTTTCACTTTAAATTTCATTCAACTTTACTTAGGGTTGGATACACATGAAATGTGCTTTTAATGCATAAAAATCACAGTGGATAGCAGCAAAGGATTGGGGTGGGGATCAGGAGAATTTCATAATTCACATTGTGATTCTGCACATTGATGAAAAGATAATTCACACTTCTAAAACCTCAAGACTTCCCTTTTTAAAGAACCAAAATAAACCCAAAACACCTTGCGGACACTTCCACGCCCCTAAACAAATTAATGATTCTTTTACACATAAAACTGAAATAGTTATGGCAGCAAAAGATTCTGATGGCAATGAAAGTCTGTAAACTGTGTTTCAATCTCTTTTTCTTATTCCCAAAGTGCAAGATGCGGGGTTCTCCATCTTTCAGTAGTGCTTCTCCTGTAAATAATCCTTCATTTTGTTTGGCAAAGGCAGTTTCTGAATTAAGTCTATCCTGGTGTACTGACGTATAACGAAACGGCACAGGTACTGCAAAGACCGCACCTGCATGAACCGCGACACTGGGTTGGTCAGTCTGACCGGGTAAGTTGCAGAGCCAGGCAGCCGGGACCTAGAATAACAAAAAGCTCCATTTTCAGAGTCCCTGATTGAATGCTCGATTAGGTCAACTATGGACGTATGTCCTTCCACATCTGGCTGTTCGTAAAAGCTAAACCTACCATTTGAGTGCTCGATTCTAGTGTGAAGGGTTTTACCATGGGAGCGAAAGCTCAAGCTTAAAAGGTAACGGTCATCAGAACTGTCCCGCACGAGAAAAGACCCGTCCGGCACGTTGGCCAGCTTCCCCTCCGCCTCCCAGCGTGTGATTGGGCCCCAGTACCATCCTTGTTTCGCAAGTTTTTTCAGCTCCTCGGTAAGGCTCGTCACCACCATGGGACCACTACTTTGCACTGAGTCGTAAACTCTAGCAACCCCAGGAGCAGAGTTAGGATCAAAATTCAAATGACAGCGCATACTCTCAGCCACGTGGACATCTGCACCCGCCAGTCCACCGAAGTTCCTTTGGATTTGATTATTCTGCATTGGAGGTAGCAATGGTGAGAGCGGAGGGACGTCGTCGCGACCCGCCTGGGGACTCTGCAACACGACGCCCGTGGTGCCGATCAATAAGCCGTTCACTGGCTGATCCGCGAAGATCTCCGGGGCCACGACCAGGTCCTGGTCTACCTGATTCTCGTCTTCGGGGAAAGGGCGGCCTCCCCCTGGCGCGGGGACCGCGGAGACCTCCATGGGAGAAGACGTGTCCAGACAATAGCTGCGCGACCCTTCCAGAGGATACATCCCCTCGTCTAAAGGCACGGTGTACTGAATGTAGTCCTGAGGCATGAGTCCGATAACGACAGGCACATGTTCGTCCAGGTGCAGGTGCAGGTCCCCGTTGGGAGAGGCCGAGCCCTTGAGGGCGTTGGCCTGCTCCTGGCACGCGGCGTCCGCCTGGAGGTCGTGGAAGTCCTTCCGGACGCCGTTCAGCGCGGGGCTGGGGCTGGAGGAGTGGACCAAGGCCTTGACCCGCACCTCCATCTTGATGCACGTCTCCTCCGAGTTCGTGGGCCGCAGCGGCCACGGCGTGGGGCTGTAGTGGTGGCTGCGCAGCGAGGTGGAGCGCATGGGCCTCTGCGCGCGCACGTCCTTGAAGACCAGGGGCGCCGAGGAGGAGGAGAAGGCGTCCTCGTCGGCCGAGCTGCCGGGCGGCGCGCCGGCCTTGCCCTTGGGCTTCTGCTTTGCAGAAAGCCGCCTTTTCAACGTACCCATCAGGCTTTCGCTTTTGGACCTGGCTTTGCCCCCTTTCTCATCTTCGCTGTTGAGGTCACAGCTGGCCATATCTTTACTGTAGCAGCTACCAAATAGGGAGTCATCCTTCCCGAAGTCACCGGCTAGGGATGCTTGTTGTACTACCATGAAATCAGTTTCTTCTTTACTTTTATTCAGGTTAAAAGATTTCCGGAAAGTTTTAAGACTAATTTTCTTCATTATGACTAGTTACCTAACCCAAGGGGATCAACCTCTCTCTGCAGTATTATCCCCGAACATCTGGAGAGGCTGCAACGCTGCATCTAGGCATTTTTCCAGCTTCATTTGACCTTTGGAGCCATTTTCTAAAAAGAAAAAAAAAAGGCGTATTAAAAAATATTTTCAGAAAAGTTTTATTTTACTCAATGTTAATCTTTTAGCTTCTAAACAAGAACAGCTGCGACTTTTAAGGGAGTCAATTGCTGGCACGGGGACTTCGTTCTGTTTCCCCAGCAGAGTAGATCACTGCCTGCTACACAGTGAGCATGGGGCAAATATTCCATGATGTCTGAAGACAGGCTCCCTAATCCACCTTCCTCTGTTTTTGCACCTTGCTTTTTATACCATATAACCCTCAGCGTGTGAGCTGCCGTTCATGTCCTCCCCACATGCGCTCTACCCAGACCTACAGGCCCTCAGCGCCAGCTAAAAGCTCCCTGCTCTGCCGGCTCAGTCTGGTCCAGCCAAAGTCCCCGGAAAGGCCGCACTCCATGGGGATGGGAGAACAACAACCCTAGTCAACTCCTTCACAGCTTAGACATATTTCAAAATACTTGAACATCTGTAAAGATAAATTAGAAGGACACCATGATCTGTGATAAAATGTCTAAAAACGTCTACTGGGGAGTTCCTTGAGAAGAGGGCTCATCCACCTTCACACTCCAGGGCTGAGCACAGAGGATGGAGAAGACCAATGCTTACAGGATGAACAATTCTAAGTGTATTTCCACAGTTATTATCTCTTACTTTATTTTTCTGCATTTTTTTCCCATGGCAAATCTTTACTTCTGTATCCAGAAATATAGTTTCTAAACTTTGTTTGGTACATTGTTGTTCCATCATCAGAATGCTACAATTTCCAGTCTCTAAGCAGGGGTGCCCAAACTTTGGTTTTTTTCCTGCCCCACATTAAAAGAATAAGAATTGTCTTGGGCCACACCGTAAACACAAAAACACTAGCAAAAACTGATTAACAAAATAAAAGGTCCATGCATACTTTTTCAAGCTATCATCACATAGAAGCAAAACACTCTTCAAATGATCTGTATACAGCCCACAGGCCACAGGTTGAACACCCAAGTTTTACTTGAATAGCTTAAAATACATTCCATCTCTGAAGCTTCTGCAAAGCTTGTACCAAGTCCCAAACAGAGAGTCCTTGGGGTGACTGAGCACACCTCAGTGAGTTCAAAGCCTACTTAGCCACTTGCTATAGGACTTTCCCCAAGTGTCACAGATAAGCAAAATAGTCCTCAAATAATCTGCATCCATAGGTTGGACACCCCTGCAAGGCTTTCTGAAAGGCATTTCATAGGAAAAAGTCTTGGCTCTCTAGTGATATTAAATGATCACTGTAATACACTGTTTACAAAGCCATTCTGTTTCAACTATGCATGATGTTTTATTTCCTCTGTGGCCATGTTCTGCCTTTCTTACAACCACCAGAGTATAATGCCGTGATAAGATGGACAATTAGCTCTAACTGAAAATGCCAATAAAACCAAGAGCACGATTTTGACCTCCAGACCCAGCAGTTTCGCACCACCCAGTATCCTAATGGAACACTGCAGCTCCAATTCTGAGCATGTTCATTAACTCACTTTGCACTAAGTAAGGCCCTACTATGTGACCAGCCCTGTACAATGATAGGCAGATTAATAAATTTATGGTCTCCTAATCTCGTAGGAGAGACGGGCATATACGAATGGATAAACTGTAATCTAAACCCTTTTCATAACGTAACAGTAACACAAGGTGGGAGTTGAAAGAAAGGAGAAATACTTCACAAATGTCTACACTTGGGGATTGTGTGAGATGGAATCAGCCTGAGGTCATTCTTACTAAAAAACACTCATAACAGACAACCCAGCAGAGGATCAGCAATATCATGTCCGCAAAAGAAGCAACTGCAGATAGGCCACTGTCGTGTGCTGTTTTGAACATGTTGTAAAAAAATGCAATGTGCAACCCTAGTTGCTTTTAAATATTGAATTGAGTTGTGTCTTAGATGAACTCACGAAGCACCATGTTTTCTACTCAAGCGTGACGGATAACTGCCTGGACAGCAGAGCCAGCAACTGGTTCGGAGGCATTAGGTATTCACATTTAAACTATCCTACCATCCCATCCACACCTCAGAAAGCAAGAGGCTGGCAACCATGGTAAAACTGGGTGGCAATTACCTACTTGAAATTTATTCCTCGTTCAAATACCAATCCATATTTACAAACTATTCATCAATATTAAAGAAACTAGATTCAATCCTAGACATTAGAAACTATAAAAAAGTTCCATTAGGCCATATGGACTTTTCTCGCTCTCCTGCATTTTCTAGGCAAAGATTACTCTGAAATTTTTAAGAGTATCTGTTTTTCTGTTTGCACATTCAAAAATATATGCCATCTTTTTATAGGGTTACCATCTGTCTCATGCCTAAGTGAATGTTCTGGATTAGTTTTACTGGTTTTTAATTGTAAAATTTTAAGTTTACACATACACTTAAAAATGAATAGAAAGGTTCAAGAGAAAAAGTTTTATACATTTAAAAAATACTTTGTATGAGAAGATAATGTCTTCAAATAATTTCAACTTCTCATGAAGACATGAAGTCACGTCTTCAGTCATCATAACATGCAATGAAAAACCTAAAACAACAAAACAACTACTTAAACCTCAACAAAAATAGCTTTATCACCCCCATTTTACAAATGAGGAAACCGGGTCTCAGAGATAGCAGAGCCAGAATTTGCACCTGCCTGCTAACTGCAAAGCTCACGCTCTTTCCCAATAACAAATTGTTTTTTTGGTTTTTTTTGAGACAGAGTCTCACTTTGTCACTTGGGTAGAGTACCATGGCGTCATAGCTCACAGCAGCCTCAGACTTTTGGGCTCAAGTGAGCCTCTTGCGTCAGCCTCCCAAGTAGCTGGGACTACAGGCACCCACCACAACGCCCAGCTATTTTTAGAGACAAGGTCTGGCTCTAGCTCAGGTTGGTCTCTAACTTGTGAGCTCAGGTGATCAGCCCACCTCAGCCTCCCAGTGTGCTGGGATTATAGGCATGAGCCACCTCTCTGGGCTGGTCTGTCATTCTATTGTTTAAATAAAGTAGTTGTCAAAACTTTCTGGTATTAGGACCTATTTACTCTCTTAAAATTATTGATGATCACAAAAAGCTTGGTTTATATGAGGTAGAGCTATTGAATTTTACCCTACCAGAACATAAAACCAAGAAAATGTTAAAATGTTTTTAACTATTAATTCATTTCAAAATGAAAATATACTCTTTACATGTTAATATAAATAACATTTTCAAGAAAAGCAACTATTTTCCCAAATAATAAAAATCAGTAAAAGGGGTAGTTCCTGTGGCTCAAGGAGTAGGGCACTGGCCCCACATACCGGAGGTGGAGGGTTCAAACCCGCCCTAACCAAAAACTGCAAAAAGAAGAAAAAAAAAATCAGTAAAAGAAGTGGCACCACTTTACATTAGAAAAGACGACGGCTGGACTCTCACATCATCTTAACAACACAGTAGCTGCCCCCCTTATCCGCAGTGGATACAGCAGCCCGAGACTCCTAGTAGACCCTGACCAGAGATAGCACTGAACTAACTCCATGTACAGCACACTATGTTATTCTCCATACTTACATATCTATGATAAAATCCAATTTATAAATTAGGCACAGAAAGAGATTAACAATTATTATAACATGCTGTAGTAAAAATTATGCAAATACAGTTTCTCTCTCTCTCAAAATATGGTTCTCATCTGTTTTCAGACCATGGCTGACAGCAGGTGATTGGAACTGCAGACTGGGGGACAATTGCATGTTGTTTCAGTTAAAGTGTAAGAAGAAAATTCAGCCTCCTACAAATATATATGTGTGTAGTTGAAACAAGAACATATTTTATTTACTAAGTTTTCCGTATAATTATGGGTATTTTTCTTTGACACTACACCAAAACTCAATGAGTGATAGCTTCTTAAAAGTTAAACTGCATTAGCCAAGTTTGGTGATGCACAGCTATTTGCAAGGCTGAGGCAGGAAGATCACCTGAGGCCATGAGTTCGAGACTAGCCTGGGCAACACAGCAAGGCCCCATCTCAAAAAAAAAAAAAAAAGTTAAACTGCACTGTGAAATTTGAAACCCTATCAAGAATAATTATTTTTTTACTCTGTAACACTGAAATCCACTGGTTTATCTTGCATTTTGAAGGAATTTCTTAGGCATGCATTATTTTTTTACGTCATGTATTCATTACATCATTGTACATCATCATAAAAGCATGTTTGGGAATTTCATTGGAAAAGTATTTTAAATATTGAGAAGCAGTTAAACTAATAATGGTAGAGATAAGTTTTCCGCAAGTGTAATTTTTACCTAAAACTTTGAATTTTGTCACTGGTGTCAATACTGTCAATTGTTTTAATTTAAGTGGTAGGCTCATTTTGATCACTCATGAGAAAATATCCACTTAAAATCCAAGATGAATAACCATAGTATGTCTGTCAATAGCTCTTTTAAGTAAAAGTGGTATTTCACAAAGAAAGTAGTCAGATAACTGGCAGCCAGCAATTCACACAACAGCCACTGAGCACCTCCCCTGAAGACACACAGGAACACAGAACAAGCTATATTAATACCTGACAAAACAGACCTTAAGACAAGTATTACTAGAGGCAAAAGGGATATTTCAAAATGGTAAGAGGGTCAACGCATAGGACAGATACAGCAGTTAAGGCATGCACACGTAACAATGAAACCCCAGAATACAGAAAGCAAAAGCTGATAGAACTGAAAGGAGAAATAGGCAATTCAATAATATTTGAAGATTTCAATAATTGCCAGGACCAGTAGAGAGAAAACAGCAAGGATACGTAAGATGTAAATGCTATCAACTAACTGGACCTCGGGAACATTTTGCAGGCTTCATTGTTCAGAACAGACCAAAACAAATCCCATTAAATTTTCAAAGACTGACATTATACAAGGTTATGTTCTCCAACCACAATAGAACTAAATTACGTGTCTATAACAGAAATAAATCTGTAAGAACACTGAATATTTAGAAATTAA